CATCGGAGACGGGTGTCACGCAGAGCTCGCGGCGGTCACTGCTCTTATGATAATTATCACAAGCACTAGGAGCTTCGACCATGTTATTTGCTTGCACAATACCCACTGGCGCCTACAGACAAAATAATTGGTTTAAGCCGCAGGTCGTTTCCGCGTAATCGATAACTGTATTATTCGAATATAATTTGACCAATATTGTACCTGCTCGCTTATTCCATTATACTTAGCTCAAATAGCGCAATGTCATCGCGTGTAAGGATTGTGTCTGTTTTGGAGCTCGGTGTTTTATAACGGTATAGGGTGTTCCTTCAAACGTGCAATGCAAACATACAATTTGAAGTTAGTAAGATGAGTAAATGGATTTGAATAAGGTCTTTCTTCAGCTACAGCACCTTTAACATACGTGGTACATTGTACAATAAGATTATTGTATAATGCACAACAGCAATAACAGAAGAAAGGAAATGCATATCTTTTTCTACACGTATTTTGTTATCTAATCAAAATGGACATAACTGGTCTTCACGTAAGTAACATAATAATAAGACGGTAGCCAAAAATCAACCTCAACGAGTAATTGACGTTCTTATAAAGTATTGATGAAGACATAACTTCATAGAACACGTCGACGCTTTGCACATTCATATAAATGCAACAAAGCCGTATAACTAATGATTAGTGTCAATTTAAACATTGTAATAGGAGATCCAGTCCGATCTATTCAACAGCTTAAGAGGTCGAGCATTCAACGCAGCGATGAGATGAATACGTTGTCAATAGATAATAATCGATACGTGCAAGACGAATACCAAGTCCTTTGATGTAACGAAGTAATATTTGCCAACCATAGAAAGCGAATTTCATATTTGTTGACAATCACGTCTTATGTAATTAAGTGCTATTGTGGTTTAACATTGTTGTTGACTTGGAGCATAGGCGTAATAAAATACACCTATTTCTGGAAGTTGGAACCGGCTCCGGTGTGTCAGTTCCCACACTGACTTAAGTGCATCATGTAGGAGGAACGCGACAAAAACAAACGACGATCTGAGACCGGTCACTCACACGTGATGTTTGTAACTACGTAGATTGAGTACATATTTATTTATGTGTTTCGGAATGTCAGTGACCTCTACATTAACTGATTTAGTAAATAATGGATTAATAGATAGATAACCATTAAGTTAATGAACATTATTACTATTACTCAAAGGGAAAGTAAAATAATGGGAGCCATTCTTAAAATCTTTATAGTAATAGATTGTGATAAGGTTGATCTTTTAAAAAGAAGTTTATACAGAATACAGAAAAAACAAAAGCCTTAAAAAATAAGTCACAGGTGCTTACTTTATGGAAATATTCATCGATAACCTGGTAGGGGTGCGGGTCAAGCATTCGATTTCAAGTCGACTGGTAGGTTTCACCGATACTGCTTCTCGTACGTTACCGTTGGTATAAGTATTACGTAGTATAGGATTATAGGTACACTTTGACTTGTAAACCATATTACATAACGTCATGCTTTGCGTTTATGAGGAAAAAACGCCAATAACCGTTTTCCTCTTGAAACCTACCGCATGTACGAGTAAATAAGAAAGTAGGCGACAACTTTTCCAAGTTAAACATATTTACATGTTATGTATTTTTGCAATACGACTGTACTTCAATTTCAAATGCTATTATTGAGATTTCATACGTGACTGCAACAAGAGAAATGTATTGATGACTTTGTTTTGACATGAGAAGTGTTCACGACTTCATGTCCGACCTTTGATACCAAATAATAGGCACACCATTTAGAAATGCTCCGGGCTGTTTTTACCGAGAAGCGACCGAATACATTATGTAATTACCCAGTTAAAACTTTTGTAAAGGATTACAAAAAGCTTTAAGGTATCTATTACACATACACATCTATTAGGGTACTATACATATAAGTACATACTTCATGTTCTATAAAAGAAGTATGCATACTTAGGCATTAGGTAGGTACATGTACTTTTCAAAACAAGTTTACCTAAATTAGGTTTCATGTGAAGGTATTGCGGATTTACGGACGTAATAGCGTCACATAAAACCCGTGTGAAATTCCCTCCTATTCTAAATAACTTCCGACGATTCGCATCCGGATTTTTTCACAGTAATTAGGAAAATATTTGTCATATTTGTACAAATAACATCTTACATTAAACATTACACAACTGATTAATATGCAACTAGGTCAAATACTAGTGTAGTATTCCTGCACATTTATTGTTAGTAACTACATTATAAATATTTTTGCAGCACTTTGAATTGCTATTCTCAAATATAACTCTATGTAAACTTGAATAATTTTAAACAAAGCTATCTTATAGTGGCATCTTGCAAATGTTCAGATAATATGCAATTTAGTTAGTCATTTTTGTGTATTTTAACAATGCCAAATTATATTAAAGGACATAACGATACACCCACGCACGCAGCTAAGATAGTCTTATTCAAATAATTGTACATTATAGGTACTTACATATTATTTAATCATTATGTTTCTTCAGAAAGAAATAACAATACACGTGATAAGGAAATATGTTAAGCATGCATGAGAAGTTTACGTCGCCGAGTCCCAGGCTTATGTCACAGTCGTTTGCGTCCGTGTAGGTGTGCCAAAGATACGTTATTGAATTTGACATTCGGCGAGAGACGTCTCTCCGTGAATTATGCTTGGTGAAAGTGATGATTCGGACGTCACATAACTTTTGCGAGTAGCCGCCGGCAACCATCATACTTTTAATAATTACTCACAATGTAAGTCACATGGCTGTCAATGTCTACAATAAATAAGCCTTCAAAATAACAACATAAACGATAAAGATTAAAAATTCTATCAATAAAATCTTGTTACTACCTCTAGATCTAGCTATAGGTAATACAGAATGCAACGACCAATACTGTAACCTTTGACCGTTGGCAGTTTGTTCTAACTTTCTATAGGAGCCATTCCGTACTTAGACAGCGGGAACTTCATCGACAGTCAGTGAGAATACATAGCTAAACTATAAATGTCCTCTGTATTTTATAAGTTACAGTCAAGTTAATCTAAATATAAATTATATGCTAATTTTAACTAAACTATTTTATAAACAAGAATGTCATAATAATACGTGAGTGAACATTCCCAAGAATGGCGATCATTTCTTTAAATTACATACAAATAGACACCATTTGGACGATGGATCTAATACATAAGTATAACATGGTAAATGGAAACATAGGTACCTAATACGATTTTCCATAACACACTTAATTGCAACTGCCTCGTTGGCCGAGTTTTCGCAAGTGCGACAAGGTCAGGCAAAATATTATCTAATGATATTTTTCGAAAATTCTCAGTAGTAGCACGGAGTCTGGAATTATGTCCGGTATATAGCAATACGTTCACCCTTACTACATGGTACTCATAACATGAATAGTGAAAAGAGGGTGTTACATTGTACAGTGGCATGAAGTGCTGTAATGTGCACCTCTACCTACCCCTTTGGGGATAAAAGGCGTGATGTTATGATGTTAAGTTCAATTGCAACAACAAACTGCCTCAATCTTTATTTTTTGAAGTAATTGGCTGGAAAATGATAGCCATCTATTACGCTCAGGAAACTCGAAACAATTTCATATACGTAAAACTCACCATGCATTTCATTATAAGTGCAAAAATTACGTGTAGCAAAAATAGCTAACTACAGAGTATTTTTATTGTAACGTCTTACCTATCTAATAGTTTAGTTTTTTTCTTTTATAGAGTAGGCACTACCAGAATTTGGCAATACCTATAAATCTGTACAATAATTACCTAAGTTAAACAATTTGCGAACATAGGTATGTAAAAAACATGCCATCAGTTTATAACCAAAAAACCAACAGTATCGGAACAATGGAAACATTACAATAAGATTAATTAACGGGTGATGATAAATGAAGTGTATGTATCTACTATCCACGCATTTTCACATATTTCAGGGGTCACGCATACGTAACCAAATTCTTTTGTGCTTAACTAAGCATGCGTAACATATTGAATATTGATACAATAGATGATGAGTTTTGCAAATCGCAATTAATGTGATTGACTATTAGTTTATTTTTCAATGCTAAAATTAAGATAGATAAGCCTATTATTGCATGACCTATGAGTCTTGTTGAAGAATCGTAATTTAAAAATAATTTAATTTTATTGTAGCAGTAATATGTACCATGAATTAATAAAAGTATAATAGAAGTTAAATATTAACGACAGTTTCTGATGGGATTCTAATTTTGAATTTATTGTTCTCTGATAAAAAAACCTTTTAAAAGTACTTGGGTATAGAGTCACAGGTAACGGTAGGATCTTTAGCTCCATAAAATCAGGATACAGTTTAATCACATTCAATACCTACGTTTAATGCCATTAACGTTATGCAATCGATCCGCAAGAAAACAGCCATTGTATCACATTACACAAACAATGAAATCCAACCAACGCACTTGTGTATAAAAACTGAAATGATGGAAATGTGGAAGTATCAGTTGGTAAAGACTACAATAATAACGCATTGAATGCATGGGTTTAGAAGCATTACCTAGATACAAGTCATTGTCTCACAATAGAAATGTAGTGGTAAAGAACAATTTAGTGTTTACTTGAAATTGAAATTAAATCTAGAGGGTTCTAAAAACTTATTAGGGACTTACTAGAAAATATACTTATTCTAATTAGGCATTGTGTAAATTATGTTACATATATTAAATATTAAGCTGAGCTCCAGCCTTTTGCGCTGCGACGCACCATGGGCTTTTTTTTGTGTACCTAAATTCTTGTTGTGTGTCGTGACAAACTAAATGGTTTTTCCTTATATATAACAAACTTCGCTGTATTGTAATATGTAAACCAAATGATTTAATTCTTAGCTCAAATACCTTTATTTTTTTAGAGCATATTCTTCATACTTTTTTAATATGATGACTAATAGTTGTTTTATATTTGTTCACAGATGCTGGCGTTGATACTCTTTTCTCTGTTATCGCTGAGTTTGGCTGAAGATACTACTACTGAAAGTTACAATGAGCAGTTCAATACGATAGAGCCAAAACCGTCAGTACGTTTGGATCCATACATCCGAAAGGCCTTACTTAAAGCTCTCAGTGAACTTGAAGAGTCCACTACAGGAACAGAACTTCTTGATGGAACTACAGGCTTAGATTCAGATGCTTACACTACAGGAGAAGAAGCTCCTGAAGCTCAGACAGACAAAGAAGGGATACAGATTCATTCCTTTATAGTCAACGGACAATCCGCCTTCTCTAATAATTCGACCAACGTACCCACCATAGTAGACAACAATATATCTATATTGAGCACTACGGCAGGTAATGTTGAAAGTCAAGTTACAGCGACTTTACCAACATCGGCTCCATTTCCGGAGATATTTCAAACAAAAGAAGGTGACAACAATTTATTACAAACAAGAAGTATAGCTAGTGCCTCTAAATCGAACACTGAAAACAACATCAAAAAGCCGACAATTAAGCCTATCATTTCAACAACGACAACAACAACTACGACTACTACTACGACCACTACTCCGAAACCGACCCATAATGAAGATGGAGAAAATATCGAAGAAGTCGATAAACGCGACGTTCAAGTATATCAAGCGCCTTTAGTTGCAGCTTTTACGGTTCATCAGGATCCACAAGGTCTACCGAAAAAAGTAATACCACTTTATCAACAAACATCTAGTCAAAACTTTATGAGACCGCTACCTGTTACTAATTTGGCATCTGGAGTTTTACATTCTCAACCCCTAGGTTCAATAATTCCAAGTGTAAATTTGAATCAAATACCTCAATCAGATTACATAAATCAACAGTTATTATTACAAAGGCAACTCGAAGAAAAGCAAAGAATTCTCGAGGAACAACTACGATTCTTACAACAGCAACAAAGACAACAAGAAGAACTTTTAAGGAAACAACAATTTCTTTTACAACAAAAGGAAGCACAGCGGCAACAAATCCTTTTGAATTCTCAGAAGTTCCAGGCACAGAGTTCTGTTAATAATTTTCAAGTCCAGAAAAATATTCCTCAGAACCAATTTGTAAATGCGCCAATAAGATCTAACGGTCAGGTAACTATTCAACCCAGTGTACCATTAGAAGCAAGTAGCACAGTTACAAACCAACAGTTACCAAATCGTGAAGCTGTTGATTTTCTCATACATCTACACAGTCAACAGCCTGATCAGTTTCCATTACAGGAAAACCATTTGCCTCAAGGAATCAGTAACTTTCTACATCCCACCTCAGGTCAGAACTTTCACCAAGGAATAAATTTTAATCAAGTTAGAGGTGTTAACGATCAATTTGGCCAGCAAAAACAAAATCATCGGGTATTCAGACAAGACAGTGGTGTCGGTAATTTTGGTTTGAATAATCAAAACTATAATACGTTTAACACTTTTAATCCAATTCATACAAATCGTTTCTTTCCTATAAACGGCCATGTCAACTATAACAACGCCGATGCTGAATTGAAACAATTGCTCGTTCAAAATGGTTTAAATGGCAGGAACCAAGAAGATTTAAACATTGTATCCAAAGTTTTGTCATTGAATCATGGTGTGGCAGTAACTAACAATATCTCTAATAGGTTACCCTTCGACAGTCGGAGGCATCTAAGGCCGCTTATTTAATCAAGAATAGTTTCAACATTTTAAAATGACTAAATAAGAATAAGGAAAAGAAAATTTGAGTTCAAAATTATTGTATTTACCGTCAAGGCAGCATTATTTCGAAGAATTTACAATGAATTTGGCGTTAGAATCATGTTTGTAATGATTCTAAATCTCATACTTTTAAAACACATTTTTGAACAATTACAAAATTTTCATATTAAGACAAAATAACCAAAGAAACACAGAAACATAAAGTATTTTAAAAATAACAGAACGCCGCGCCGTTGTACCAGTCTTCTACGCTGTTTTATCATAGTTTAAGTTAATTATTTATTTTACGGGATAATATGTTATATGAACTGCCATAAGTAGTATAATTAAGAAAATGATGACAGTAATGGTGCAGCTTTATATGTATATTTACGGAAAATATTGTCGTAATGTAGAATACCTGTTTTATAACACGCATTCTGTGTCACTGCCGGTCACATTTCAAGTATTGTATTGAAACATTTTATAACCCCACAGGTATGAAAAGCTTAAAAAAATTCTGATCCTGATTACCTAGATCATAGTATTATATATATTCAGTTAGATTGTAATAGGTATATGCCTAAATAAACAGAATGACATAATACATACTATGTTGCAACCAAATATAAGTAATGGTCGTGACATTTAAATAGATATACATAAGTAAAGCTACAATGATTCATAAAAATATGTAGTAGGTACCTAATGAATAATTAATGCAGTACACGATAACGCACTCTATTATGTATTATTGCAAATTGTTTATACATGTATCTCCAGTATAATAATTTTAAATATGTTAAAAAAGAAAATTGTGTACTAAAATTTAAATAATCGTTGAGTACCTACCTACTCTTAATTATTATATAAGATTAGCTTTAAGTAGGCCTATACTTATATTAAGTTAATAACATTTATTATTTCTTTAGACAAACCACAATAAATAAATATAGGTATTTCCCTACAATTAGATGTAAGTATATAAGTTGCGTTATTTCTTTCGGCTATCTTTAATCGGAGTTATTTAAAACATTAAAAGGTCTTCCCATCCCATTAACAAGCATTATGGTAAATTATGATCATATAGATTATGATACCATTCAAATTAAATACGTAGAAAGCATTCTCAACATATTAGGTACCATGATAATATTATATTTGCTTACTTAAGTTTAAATTTGTTTGTTGTAATAAAATGTTAAACTTAATTTCAATAGTTTAATTAATATAATACATGCATGAGTAACTAAGTGGTAAAACAAATTACCAACGTATCAACATGAGTAAAATTGTTATAAATACATAGAAGTCACATGTAGGTTTAAATATTGATAATGATTTTTGTAAATAAACGTCTTTCACGTGTTTACTTAAGTTTATTTTATAAAAATAATACTACTGAAAATATCAACCAAACTAGCCATCCCACCCCTCAAATAGTTGAGTAAGTATTTCGCGAATACATAGGGAAACTTCCAATTGAGTAGAACAAGTACCTATATAAAAAACCTCTACCTAATTTAGTACCTACATTTACCTAAAAATGTCTAAAAGTTACGTCTATTCGTCATCAACAGCCTATAAGTGGCGCCTGCTGACAAAAGCTGAGCCTCTTCTTGCACGGAGAAGGTTTGAGTTTTAATCACCACGCTTGCTTAATAAGGGTCGGCGATTTCAAACTTATAATTCGAAATTATAAGCTAATAATAAATTATGGTAATAATATATAGTAAGATTTCCGCACAGTGTTTTCCTTCACCGTTTGAAAGAGTCATATTGGTACTTGCCATTAGTAGGGTTCGAACCCGAATCCTTGTGCATGAGAAGCGGACGTCTTAAACCTCCGGGCCACCACGACATAATCCATACTAATATTATAAATAAGAAAGTGTGTCTGTCTGTCTGTATTTTTGTCTTTCTTTCACGGCAAAACGGAGCTACGAATTAACGTGATTTTAAGTGGAGATAGTTGAAGGGATGGAGAGTAACATAGTGTACTTTTTGCCCTTTTTCTAACTCCCCACTTCCCTAAAATGGGGGGTGAAAGTTTGTATTCATGAAGCAATCCGCAATTTTCAAGGTAGGAAACTAAAAATTGGTATGCTGCCTATTTATGACTACCAAAACAATCGAATCATTTTATTTTAATTTTCACCCAACCCCTTAATAGATGCAGTTTTCGCAGTTTTCATGGCAGGAAAATCGGCACACAGACTCTTTGTTACTAACGACGTTACCAGTCATTCAGCAGGGGACACCTACAGACGAAATTAGCATGTCTCAAGTCGTCCTTTCTATAGGATACCGTAAGAAAGTTCAGTGTAGGAAAGGGTGAAAATGTAATGATCCCACGACTCCCAACAATTCCCACAAATCTCCCGTACCAGTTTAAAAGGCTACAATTTTCTCTTAAGCTTAGTTTTGCAATGACTTAACTCGTCGAGTACCGTATTTATAGACACAATTAAAGAACAATAGGTCGCGGTCACTGGTGACCGCTTGGTGTTTGACAGTTTAATTAACAAAGCGCAAGGACAAACATTAAAGATGGCTGGGGTGAACATAGAAAAGCCGTGCTTTTCCCATGGACGTAGCATGTATGTAGCATGTTCACGTGTGTCCAAGACCCAGAATCTTTTTATTCTGACGCCAAATGGCATATAAAATATAGGCCCAATTACCCTCCCCTTCCTCAATCTCCCCAATTCCTGAATCCCCAACGATCCTCAAACTCCTAATCCCCAAAAGGCCGGTAACGCACTTGTAACGCCTCTGGTGTTCCAGGTGTCCATGGGCGACGCCGATTGCTTACCATCAGGTGATCCGTCTGCTCGTTTACCGGTTTATGCCAAAAAAATATAGTCTATAGACTATATTATCTATAGACTATATGACTGGTGTGTTAAAATATAATAAATAAGGAGCCAAATTCTGTTCCGAGTTCTCTTCTGTGTTTAGGAAAGGTGCTACCCCGAATTTAACGCGAGCGAAGCCGCTGGCAAATGCTATTACTTTTTTAATATTTTTTAACCGCAAGGTCAAATACCTACCTCAAAAGGGAGCAACATAGTATTTAGTCACTTATCGAAGTGTATCGTATATAACACATGGTCATAAATACATGAAATAAGACAATTTAAATCGGACAAAACGAAAAATACCTACCCTCTATTTATCAAACACGATTTTACAATCCAAACGTGTATACTGTGAAAGCAATATTTCGTCAGAACCAAACATCGTTTAAATATAATAATTAAATTTTTGCACTATCCGTATTATTTGTTCATAATATAACATTACAAAAGAATTTATTCGTAGCCGAATCTCAGCTTTGATTCTTGATGAGAACGAGTGACGATGACGACTAGACTTAGAGACTCGTTCAATTTCCCGCCTTTAAAAAACAATCATAGATAGAAAACAATGTCATTCAGGTTTGGGTTTATGTCTAATCAGTCATTACAGATAAAAAATATGTCTATGGTAAAGCTATAAACACATTTGTAACGAAAGGTATAAAAAGTAGCCAGTCAATAATTAGAACCTTACTTGCTTGTTTTATTCTCTGTAAATAACAGTGAAATGGAAAAAAGACATTACAATATAACATTAAACGCTTGATACAATCCCCCTTCAGCCTACCAAGCACGAAATAAGTTGCGATTCTTTGCTTTGCAACTTTTGCTAGTATACTTTTTTATGTTGGCAACGTTTAAAATCTCAAGGTCAACAACCAACTGTCATAATTGTCAGAAAGGGCAACTGACTAAAACAAAGTTTGTTTGTTATTTTAATAAATTCATAATTTTCTCTAAACTTTAAGTATTACTTAATATTATTTTAATTGAAGTTAGAAATTAGATTTTCAATTTTTTATTGAAATATAATTGTAGTGGACACAAACAATTGCAACCATGGTTATAATGGACACAGGCGAAAGTGTTGGCACTTTAGAAGAACAAGCACTAAAAAGAAAAGAAAGGCTAAAGAATTTGAAACGCAAGAATCCTAATAATGAAAGTTCATCGAATGATTCGCCTGCTGACTTTGTACCACTTCCCAAGTAAGTTTCATTCCAGTACAGAAGATATTGAGGTTATGTTTTGTTTGTTCACCTATTGGAACTTAAAAAATCATGATAATCGAGCTAATTATATGTTAAATTCCACATTCTGCTATAACCGTTAAGACGCTGGTTTGAATTGTTGCAGTTAGGTAATTAATTACATTGTGGTTTTGGTGTTAGTATTTTGGACCAGACTATAAACTTATGCAATAAATTCTTATTTCAGGCCAAAGTTCCGGAGCTACAAACCACAGGACGATTCACTCTTAGAAGCCAAATTAGAAGATGCTGAGCCTGCAGCAGTAGAAGCTGAAGTTAAAGACTTGCTTGAAGCAGGGAAAGAAAAGGTACTTAACCCATTGAAAATTGTTGAAAATCATCCCCTAAATTTGTTCATACAAAAGTAGTCTCTAAACATTGGAAATAAGGTCTATAATGTAGTTAGTGGAGAGCGGTCACCGGTGACGGCTTGGGGATATACGGTTCAATGTTTATACTACCAATTTTAAAGTGCCCAATACATTGCTTTCTTTATGGTAACTTCTCTATCTATCAGTATCAGGTTATCAACAGCCTATAAGTGGCCACTGCTGACCATGGGCCTTTTCTCACATGGAGAAGGTTGGAGCTTTAATAACCACACTTGCTCAATGCGAGTTGGCGATTTCAAACTTATAATTAGAAAATATAAGCCTAGTTTTCCTCACAATGTTTTACCTTACCTTTTGTCAATGGTGTCTAGATAATCTTAGAAAATACATAAACTCGGAAAAAGTGACATTGGTTCAAACTGGCACTCTCACACATGATAAGCGTCATAAACCTTTGGGTTACCACAACATGACATTACGGTGGCTGACACGACACTGCAAGTTATATACAAACCGCCACTTATATAGACAGATAGATATGTTGAAACATCAATCATTTTTTTATGAACCTTTGTTGTTTGATCTAATGGAATTTAATGTGGTATTTTCAGATAGTGTTACAAGACTTGGACATATCAAGTTTAGCACCGCGGAAACCAGACTGGGACCTCAAAAGAGATGTGGCTAAGAAACTGGAAAAACTAGAGAGGAGAACACAAAAAGCTATAGCAGAATTGATATGGGAACGGTTAAAACAGGGCAATGAAGATAATCTAGGAGCCATGGTCACCATGTCAGAAACTAGAGCTACTGACGAAGACTGACACAAGTTTCAAATACATTTGATGAAATTATTTATAAGTTATTTGTAAGTAAAATAAATAAGCATAATTTTTATCTTTTTCTTTTCAAAATATTACTATGGCTAGTCAGTTCAATAAAGTTTTTTGTATGGGAGATGAATCAGTATTTTTATATTGTGGGTAATTTTAAAAGAAATCAGTTTTAAGTTTTGTAGGTGAAATTTATTGCACAGAATTTCAATTCCACACTATCAATTAGTTTAATATCACAGTATACAATAAATAGTGTACATTTTGTATATTCTTTGTTAGAAACAAAAAATTAACTAAGTCAGTCATCATGTTTTGTAAATTTTGTCTAATGATTAACTTAATTAAGAGACAACAAATTACTAATGGTTTAACTTTGCTGCTGGTAATATGTTACTTATTACAGAGACGTTAGGAAACATTTTGGTGTGATGACTGGCCAACAAAATTTACTAAGATTCTCATTTCACTGTTATTGTATTAATATGTGCTTTGAATATTTCCATCAGGGAAGCATATAGATGTCAGCAAAGAATACCAAAACATTCATTCATCTAATCCTATTATCCTACTTGCAATTAGAAATATAAAAGTAACTACACAAAATAGGATGTACTTAACTAAATGATATTATAAATTAGATGTTACTCTATACAAGTATTTTTTCATTCACATTCATACAACAGATATTAAATTAAGGACATCTTAAGTAGCAAAATTCTATTAGACTATACAAGTTCTAAGAAAATATTTACTTTGAGTTGATTACACACAGATAGATATTCACAAATTATCACAAGCTAAATAACAGCAATATAGTAAAAGTCATTGTGTATACAATTGTAGGAACTAATCGTCGAGCACTGCTGCGACCCTTTTTTCTTTTCGATGGCTTTCCAGTCGTAGTTTCTTCACGTTCGTCAATCTCATTGTAAATGTAGTAATTATTGTCAATATTATAGAACACTACTCTGTCGCCGATTGGCTGTATCGGCCTGAAGTTATGTGTTATTTTCCCATGCGCTGATCTTATCTCTCTAAAGGCTTCTATCTGTAAATATTAGAAATATTATTTATTAAACAGTGTTATATTATCAACATGCAATGGTGTGGGAAAAATAGTTGATTCCTATTGACAATGACGTCATTATCATCATCAACAACAGCCGGAAGACATCCACTGCTGGACAAAGGGAGGCCCTTAGTCTTCCACATTGAATGACAACTCGTCACCTGCATCCACTGGCTCCCCGCACAATGACATGTTAGTGTAAAATAGTTCTAAAAACCCCATTAGCGGCCTGGTTTGTGTCATCAATAAGATATAGAAGACTAGTGGAGTGACACCATATTGATATTTCACCTTCTTGAGAAGCTAAAAAAATAAATTATCCTGATTTTTTATACTTCCCATCCAAAGAGTTCTGAACTAGAAGCTGAACTGGTATCCTTCTTTAAGTTAATTGATTACATACTTACAAATGGACAAAAGTTATACCTGTTCATGTGTAAGCCTGATGGGTTGTTCGAAATCTAGCCAGATGACGACTTCGGAGCAGGGTGGAGTGGTAAGCGAGCCTTTGTAAGTGAAGTACCTCTTGAGGTCATAAGGCAAGATGTTGAGGAATGAGAACGGGTGACTCATCACCACACTAGTATGAGGTTCCGTGACGTTTACTAGTGCTGATGTTATATCGTCATAGGCAGGGTGCTGGTGGCGATCCAACTGAAACAGTACAATCGTAAGTTAAGATTTTCCACATAATAACTGGCTTCTAAGCATACGTACATAATGAATATTAAAGTAAAGCACAGTAATACAAAGTACGATATGAGTAATGGTCCATAAACCAACAGGTACTATTGTATGACTTAAAATTCGGTGATCCAAATCAGTACAATTTGGGACCTGAAGCGAAACTAAGCGTATCTGCTGTGTTCATTCACTTTCGAACATTGACCGTGACTTTGGACTCGGAAGTCACGGCTAGCGCTCGAAAGTGACTACTATAGTTAACTACTATGTTCTATTCTGAAACAACGGTTGAGCTAGTTGCGTAAATCGAAATAAAAGTAGATTAACAAGCAGACTACCTTACCTAATCGACTACATCTATCATATTTGGCACAGAGATAGATTATAGTCTTGATTTCTAGAATAACACATTAATAGATAGATAGGTTACCTACTTTTTACATCGGTAAGGCATATACTAACCGCTATAACATTACAAGTCAGACATTTCTAAAACCTGAAAAAATATACGTAGGTATAGAACTTTTTTTAAGGGGGGAAAATCATCGAATGACTGCTCCCGCCTGGGTGAGGCGGGAGCGAGTGTCAGACTCTAGACTGGCTAAAAACCACCCCGTTCCTTCTGCACGTCGAGCCGGAGCCCCGGTAACGCGTTAGGTTCTCCGCGACAGGTATAGAGCTTAGCTACATAATGTTATTGAAAAATTATGAGGGTAGGTACCTGATGGTGATGTGGATTGGTAACTAGTAAGTACAAACATTAAATATGCAGATAAGCTCGTTATTCCATTTCTATCTACCATTTCATTGATGAAAACCAGTTGCGAATTTATCGTTTTGTATCAGCTACAACAATGAATTTGTGTCAATGTTACCTAAATGTAAGACACAACGGCAGTGCGCCAAATGTGATGAATTAGACTTTGAGTACCTACATAATACCTAGTTGTCTGGCTGTAATCATATCAACACATTTGGCAGCCACCGGTCTACGATTGATCAATGCTATTAACTTGCACGTGCTGCGATAACTCGCCTCTATACGTAAACGTTTGACGATAGGATTGTTTAAAGTACAACGGTATTACTTAGATGCCCTAGTAAGCTATCTACGTCGCTACGGCACAGCGTATTCGCACCTCTTGTACCAAGACTATGTTAATAAACATGCACACGGTGTATTTAAAACTGACCTCGTAGAAGAATGCAAGCACTGTCAGGCCATCTGAATGTTTCACAGCTTCCGCCGCTGATTGATACTCCTCTTTGAAGAACACCATGTGCAATTCCATAGGGAAACTGGAATTTTAAACAAAACTTACACAACATACGAATCACCTGACTTACATTAAAATTGTCCCAAAAATGGTAACATCGTAAACATCACGATACATAAAATTCACCTTATTTGCTTACACAAAGTATTAATATTTTATTTTTCCTCAATATTATGAAGAAATTACAATCCATTCTTGTTTGCAAAAGGACGTGTTCTTTTTGACCTAATTTGTGAATAATATTCGTTAATACATTTTCTTCTCACCTTCTATGGTTGATCTTGTCCTCAGAACCGAAGGTGTCATTGTCCCCCCAATGAAAGTGCATTTGGCTAAATATGTAGTCTCCGTCGAGTGGTCCCCCTCTAACTCGCGGATGTGGTTCATTCTGCACCTCGATCAGAACTGAAACAAATTAATAAACATTTAGTTAACCATAAGGGGAGAAAATGTAGAGTTTCTTTTATTACGATATTCCATTTCTTTCTTATTCGACTGTCGTTTTCTTTCCAATTGGTTGGCAGCTACCAGCTAGGTACTACGTAATTAGGGTTTCGTTGCAGTTCGTAAATTTCAAATTACCACCATAATAATGATTACTACGTTGTCACTTACTTATTAAGGCCACATAAAATTTAGTACCCACATTGTCTAACTCTGCAAACTGATCCGAACTTTCACATGGTGTAACTTTTGTTGTACATACCTACCTAATATTCACAATATTAATGTAGTACCAGTTTAATGGAAATAAACGTGCGTAATTTCTTAACTACTTTCTCTCTATTTTGCTCTAATAGATTTAGCAAAGATTTTATGTGTTTAAGGCAGGCTATATTAGATATCCAAGTTTTGAAGGTATTTAACAGATCGAAATAGCTATTGAATTGAGATGTCTATATAGTAAGTACCTATATCTTCACAACTTACTAACAATAATTTCTTAAATACTTAAAACAGATTTGCATAAATAGATCCTTGACCTCATTTACAAATAATTTGATTCACGATAGGCGTGAACTTCGGTACCTATTGTATTATCAATGATACTATTTATTAGTATTTACTCACTGACAGAAAAACTAACTAAATAAAAAACTTAGCAATCTTTAACTTGAGAGAAATCGTTGTAAGTACCTCTATCTAGTAATATTATTTGCAATCATTTACGGAGGTCTACGTTATTTTAAAGTGATATTACCCAATTTTGAAGATCGTCTGTCTATCCTGATTCTTGTCAATAAAGATCTCGAATTTTTGCTACCTTCGCTGTCTAGGTTCTAGGTAGGTCCGTCTTAATATTTGGCTTGTAATAAACACTGTTTACCCCCATTAATTAAAAAGATAATAATTAGCTTGCAGTTGCAACTAATTTTTTTTGCCGAGATCATCGTCGATCTGGTTTCCAGAACACAGGAAATCTAGGTCACCGTAATAACCGTTTTTACGTAAATTGTTACTAGATCTCTACATCACAAAACATTTAATAAGCAATTCATTGTTATGCTACAAAAAGCATGACTCCATCGCCCATAGGATGTTGGTCATGCATAAAGTAATTCAAGTGGTATCAACTGCACAGCACAATGCAATCATAATGTTATTAGAAACATGACTGCTAAAGACGTAAAAAGTTAAACAAACCATCATTTAGAAGAAAAATACTTATTGAAATGTATAACCATCAAACCCAGGCAACAATAGCAATTAAAGCTTTACATTAGTAGGTACCTAAGTCCTAGTTAATGGGAATGTGGAAATATTTCATAAATAAAACTAATAAGGTATTATTCTTTTGTTATGGGATAAGCCGTTAAACAGCAGACAGAGCACCTGATGGTCAGCAATCGGTGCCACCCATAGATATATACAGTTTTTAATACTTCTGTGGCGTGCCAATGGTCTGGTCTGGACTACTCTGGACGTCCGAAACACCAGAAGCGTTAAAAGTGCGTTACCGGCCTTTTGGAGATTAGGAATTTAAGGATTGTTGGGGATTCGAGGATTGGTAATTGGGCCTCCGGTAACCTCACTCACACGACGAAACACAACGCAAGCGTTGTTTCACGTCGGTTTTCTGTGAGGCGGTGGTATCACTCCGGTCGAGTCGGCCCAGTAGCCATTCGTACAGAAGCATGAGCATGGCTCTCCCATACAATATTCATGTTGCCATATTCATTGCCATACCAGTGATTTATTATATAAGGCGAAGTGATTGACCTTTCCCTGGGTGTTTACATCAATAAACCACATTATTCATATTGCTTATTTAAACCACAATGACTTTTTTGGAATTGGATACCTACTTATATAAATATTTTACGTAAAAGGCTTACTTTATTAGATAGGCTTATTCCCTACCAGGCTAGCACTACTTCGTTTGGTCAGGTGGTGACAAACCTACTTAGGTCTATAAATGTACTCATTTTGTATAAACTAAACATTTACATTACCTACTTAATTTGTTTATTAATTTGTTTGCGAACTTGAAACAAAATTACAAAGGCGAAAATGTTTCTCAGTCTAAATATTTTATTGCTCATGTTACGTTGGTATTTCTTAATGTGAAATGTTCATACCTGTGTGTCCATTGTTGGTGACGTGGACGTCGTCAATGGAGTCGTCGAAGCCTACGAGGACGAGGTCAGGTAACGTAACTTGCTTCACTCGGAGTACGTTGATGTTAATCGGACTTTGATGTTTACCAGCGCACTCTCTGTATCTCTCGCCCCAATATTCTGGACCTAGGGAAAACAATATTGAATGTTAGATATGTTACCTACCTACAAAGCATAACATTGTCACCGATTAAAGATTCCATGCCTAATATGTTATAGATTTTGAGCCTATTGCGTCACACCGAACTCCTTTTCATGCTCTGTGTAAGTTACCTATTGAGAACTTCAATCATCCAGTTATGCTTTGACTTGGGATTAGGAATCGAACCCCAGACGCCTCCTGGTCCAGAAATCAAACGATATACTTTCTACCAACAAAACGATGAATTAATTCGTACATTTGTTGTATTTTTAGTTCTCATCAAGAGATCAAATCAATACAATGTGACAAAAAGATTATCAGGGCGATTGTCCTTAATAACTCTAATCAGGTACCCGCTATTAGATTGCGTATACAATCAAGTTGAAGAAAAAAATCTGTTCTTTTACGGTTTTTTGCACGCTAAACAACAATATAGCCTTCATTCCACTGGTGCGATAACTTTCAATTTCAAAACAATTAGATTTCCGATTTAAAAGGCTAAAAGCACACGCAATGCAATGATATTTTTAGAATCAAACGGGACATGTAAAAACTGTAAATAGCGTGCCGTTTAGGTATTTAAAACTATTTTCGTATCATTAATGTGATCTAGTAACATGAACATTGCATTATTTGTTTTTTATTTAAATATTTCTATGTTGTCTAAATTATCTTTATGAAACTTTGTCACTGCATTTGTAATAAATTGTTCAGCAATAATTATAAACTACAATGTGTGATAAATATGTTGTTATGAAATTAAATCCAACATTCTAATGCACTATAAATTATGTTGAAAGTATAAAAATGTAACCACACTGTACTTATCTAACTGTAGATTATCTAGGTACATTCTACAATGTTAAATGTTAGCCACGAAATTGATTTCCAGATATTAATCGTCGCAATCGCAAGTCGCAGGTGGCCATTGAAAGCACAGGTGTTACCAGTACTACGATGCCCATTTCCTATAAGGGCAGGATGTAACTGTCAAATGAATCATAAACCCTTTCATTAGGCCCTTAGTTCCTTCAGTCTTCCTATAAAGATAAAGATAAAGACATTTATTTGCGTAAAAACATGGTATACAAAGATGTTATTGTTACAATATAATAGATCATCATGTTTTGCTTAATAAATAAAGCATGCAAATTTTAACTTGAAACTTATTTTAACTACTTAACTTACACTCGTAGATTATACATTATTATTTATGTTCAAAAAATTCCTTAATACTATAAAAATTATTTTCATTTAACCATACATATAATTTAATTTTAAAAAGTCTGAGGTTAAGTGTTTTTAATGTTATCGGCAATTTATTAAATATTCGGACACACATACTTAGGCAGCTTTTATTATATTTTGTTGACTTAGGAAACTCCTCTAGTACTAGTCTGTGATGGTCGCGTCGACTTCTAGAACATACGTCTTCTGCCGTTTTGAACAGTTCTTTATGTTTACGTACGAATATACACACTTCATATAAGTACAATGAGGGTAGGGGTAGCAAACCAAGCTTTTTGAATACTGACCGACATGATACATCAGGTGGAATCCCATATAAGGCTCGTATACATCGTTTTTGTGCGATAAATGCTCTCTCTTGATCAGTACTATTTCCCCATGCAATTAAACCATATCGTAGTGATGATTCAATATACGCACGGTAGGACATGACCGCAGTTTTCATGCAAGTGACATTTTTGATTTGTTTGAGAGGGTAGACAAATTTATTTATTTTGTTGCAGACATGGTTGACGTGTTCTTTCCAGTCTAGATGTTCATCTATAAATACTCCTAAAAACTTGGTGTTGTTTGCTTGCGAAATTTTAGGTATATCCATTTTAAAATTAAATTTACTGTTATATGATTTATTGAATTGTACGTAAACTGATTTATTAAGATTGATGGATAGGTCATTATTATCGAGCCAGTTGATTATATTATCTATTGTGTTGTTTATATGTGTTTCGTGATCTTTAACGGAGTTACGTTTTTTATCATTAGTGACAATTATGGAAATATCGTCGGCAAAAAGAAAACATTTATTGTTAGTCACATCAACAATCTTGTTTATGTAAAGTAAGAATAAAATCGGGCCCAATATACTACCTTGGGGTATGCCCCGCTTTATGCATTTATATTCTGATGGGTAATTGATCATATTCTGACTCTCATCAATTCTGGTGATAATGACCCTCTGTTTTCTATCAGATAAGTATGACAATATCCAGTGTAAAGGTGGTCCTCGGATTCCGATAACCTCTAATTTCTGCAACAATCTGTCGTGCGTAACTAGGTCGAATGCTTTCGATAAGTCAATAAATAAACCCGTTGTAAGCTGATTTTTGTTAACATTGGCTAATACTACTTTCAGAAGTGAAAATATAGCTAAAGTCGTGGATTTATGTTTTTGGAATCCGAATTGTTCCTTTTTTATAATGTTGTACTTCTCACAGTACGTGATTAACCTTCTATACATACATTTCTCATAGATTTTTGATATAATGGGTATTAATGTTATAGGACGATAATTGGACAAGTCATATTTGTGCCCCTTTTTAAAAAGTGGTTTAACAATACACAGTTTTAACGCGTCCGGGAATAACCCCTGTGAAAAAGACAAATTGATTAAGAAAGTTAATATTTTGCTTATTTCATCAACGCATTTCTTTATTATTGTGGTGTTAAGTTCATCGTAACCTTCCGAGTTAGTGTTATTCAATGATAATATCTGTTCTTTTACTTCATTTTCAGACGTAGGTATTAGAAACATTGAGTTAGATGCTAGTTTTGTATTTCGACAGGTATTTGTGACGTTTTGTACTAGTGTGGTATTTATATTTATGAAGTGATCATTAAAGGCCGATGCAATTTCTGTGGGCTGTGTTAGTGTGGTAGTATCAGTTTTAATAATTTCAATATTGTGCTTGAGCTTAGCACTGTTTACCTCCTTTTGTATGACTGCCCATGTTGCCCTACACTTATTGTTATTATTGTTCATAAATTTTATATTAGCGTTCCGTTTGGCATTATAAATACATTTTTGTAATAATCTAGAATATAAGATATACATATTTTTATTGCTTAAATTTTTAAACTTGTAATATTGATGTCTTAAATAACGTTTAGTTCTAGAGCTTTGCCTAAGGCCTTTAGTTATCCATGTTTGTTTAATTTTATTGCTTATATTTATTTTAACTCTTATTTTTGGGAAATGTTAATTTATGGGAGATATTTATTAATGTTATATTTATGGGAGAAACTTGATAACCATAAATAAACAAGCTACCTACTTGGATGACAAACGGACTCTACCTTTTAGATAAGCATAATTTAAACATAAACTGGAATAATTTTTCACCTGTTAAGATAATGACGTCTTCCTATTTATTCAGGTAGAACAATTAATAATGATCAATTTCGATCACGTCTAAATCTTTGATCTAAATAGGTGCACCTACCTACAACAAGTGAATGTAAAACCTCACATTTTGACGTGATAACCTCATTCAATCTCGTACCTAGAGTACCTATAGTTAGTTTTTATTCTTACCAATATTTCCATCGTAGCCAAATTCCTCGCCATGCGTGAGTGCTGTAATAAAACAAAAGAACAATTATTAAAATTACATTCTGTTCTGCACGACATGTTATATAGAGCTATAAGAATTACGAGTATTAGACCTAGGTACCTACATAAATACAGGTAACAGGGTTAGCAGTCTGAATTAATCTACCAATCTTATTTATATTTCGCTGCATGGTTAGTGCAGCGGTTAAATTGTGGAACGCCGCGCAATGTACCTTCAATAAAGGCACAATACATGAGAATTTTTTGATAGGTGCTACGTTTTACAATAAAATAATGACAGTGATTTATATTTTAATTGTTTTAAAACTTAATAAAGATGCACCTACTTTTAAGTAAAGACGTCATCAGAACGGATCCATTCACTAGAATGAACTACTTAACCATCAAGTAACGGAAGCAAGCAATTTATGCTACTTTAAACCGAGTAATTTCTTAAGATATTTTTATGCTTTAATTAGTCTCGAAACTGTTATGCAAGTGTCCAAATCAAATAGAGAAGCAGGTATTGTAATATTATAGGAAGGATCGGATCGGAACACCAGGTATTTAACGGTGGAACCAGTTGAAGCGTGTTTGCCTTTGTGTGCCTTTAACAACGGAACATTGTCATTATACTTATTATGAAATGGTCCATGGGTTTCCTGAATACAACACACACATACCTACACCTCGTGCCTATAACTATACACTAGGGCTAGCTTTGATTACGTTCATGACCATTATGATACGACGGAAAACTACATCCGATGGCAATTAAATGCAGTATCGAGATCTTTAAAGTCAAGAATATCAACATTCATAAAGATAAACAATCAATTAATCGAAGTTAGGTCAGGTACGACTGTAGGAGATGTATCTATAACTTTAATTACTACTTCCTTTTCAAGAACCATATTCTAATCATCAATTAAGTCATTAAAGGAGATCGTGGCAGACTCAGCATCGACACATAAAGCTGTGGCTACATCCCAATAATGAAACAAGTTTAATCAAACTAAAACGAGTATCATTAAAATTATTTTTAATGCGAAATTATGTTCTCCTTCGTAGGCCTTAGTGTCATCGTCATAATACCTGTTAGATATAGAGATTATGTAAGTTCATAGCATAATGGGATCGTTCTTCAGTTATTTATATTAGATCTACAATTTAGATTGAAACTAGTTAAACAAGAACATACTAAAGTGCACTCTGCAAGTAGGTACATTAGGTAACAGAAGCTACGTAACACTAACTTTATTGTTAAAAATATAGAAAAAGTAAATTCGGGATTATTATAATCTATATCACAGTGAATATTTTCAAGATCCGGTAACATATCTTAGAGTCAATGAAGACTTTAATTCCGCATTTTATTGTTCATATAAGTTCATGTATCTATCATTATTAGCGATGTCACTATACCATCTTCAGTGAGGCTTTCAATGTACCCATACATGGCAGTAAGTCGGAAGTAAGATATTTACTTACAATTTAGGAGTGGGCTGCACTTGGACAGCATCTTTAATCAACGCGGCAGAATTGATAATAGCGTCAGTTTTAATAGATGCGGTATCTGATCCGAACAAACTAGAAGCAGTCCAGGAAGGAGGAAGGGCTTTAACAGTAACTGCTAGATAAACCTATCTATAAGTTACTTGTACTGGGGTGAGTTACCTACCAAACTAAACCTACGTTTGCTCGTGGTTGTGCTTAGTAGATGACCAAGTCACCGAACCTAAAAAGATTTTCACCTTGAGGAGTACGATGTCTTCTTATTCACCTTGTGCTGGCGGCTCAAGGTTTGAACCAATCTTTTTTTATTCCACCACTTTTTCGGCGACCCAGAAACATAACTTGAGGCCGTAAATTATTACACTAGGAAAATGTTCTTAACATTTTATAAGAGATTTATTAAAAGATAAGAAGTAACCAGGTAAATTCAGAGCATGTGAATCTTAGTAAACATTTGTATGACAAATCACGGATTAATAAAAGGTTAAATAAATAAATAGCAAACTAAATGTACCTATATCACCGAAGTTATACCGTAACAGCCAGTGACGCGTATCAAATTCATTGATAAAAATAAATTACTCGAGACAATAATAGCTTTAGCGACCTTTTACAACTGCCAATGTTCATGGGCATGTGAGAGAATATTCATTTGACGTCGATGATATTGTTCCGTGGTGGGAATCCTGATGCACTGCATGGATTAGAGGATCGAGGCCAATTGTGATCACGAGTGCACGATACCACGCTTTCTCTAAACCGGCTGTTACATTTGAAAGTAAATAAAATATACATACAATGACAATATTGTTTATTATTTACACGGTGTCCGATGAAAAGGATAAACGTGGTTTTAAACGGACATAAAAGGCAATTGTCTCATGATATGACGCGGTGTGAAACGCTTTGTACGATTTCGCATTGTTTTAATTCGTTAATTGGCAAAGAAGCAGCGAAGGTCCCAGAAAACAGTCTGGGTGTTGATACCGTACCAAATAGGTTTTGTTCTATTGTATTAACTTATAACTGTTACGCGCCACTATTGTGGCACATGGTTATTAACTCGCCTTGGCGTTGGCATCCGTCGGGTATTTTGCCTTCAAGGAGGTCTAACCAATACCAAGGTACTTTTAATTACAGGGTTGGTGACCTGACTTTCATACTTCTACTAAATATAGAGACGTTTAATTACAGTAGGCGGTGTAGTGTAACATCGATACAACAAGGAACTGTGTTTTGAGGTGATAAAATTATCAGTTGATGAATAAATAATAGAGCTTTGAATTCATTGTTTATACCCCTAGAATAACGCTTCTTCTTATATCTTCTTAATAATTGTTAATTACTGACAGCTATCAATGGCCACCGATTGTTAACCTCTGGATAAGATATCAATATCATACAGTTTTATCCCAATAAATAATAACACACGGAGATAGGTCGGCTGTGGTAGTGTGCATTCAGACAGAAACAGGATTTACTAGGTGAATTAAATAAAAAAAAACAAAGAAAATTGTACATAATTTATCAAATAAAACTGGCCCTACCTTAATACAATACATACGTACTAAGTAAATCGTAGTTAATCGTAACTTTGTTTGATATTCAAACAGTGCCTCAGTAATTCTTGTAATCATATAAAATTGTCGTGATTACCAGCTATCGAATGACAGTTCTACCTATTTGCATTATTACAGGGATAATTTTGTCGAATCGCAAATGTTATGAGAACTAGGCCTCGAACTGCTCGTATAGTAGTTGTTTGACTATGTCAGTGCAGTAATAAAACAATCAATAAAATGCTTATTATTTTTTGTACACGACACATAATATATAGCGTAGTACGTGTGGGTAATACTAGAACATTTAAATACTATACGTACGTAAGTTGTTTTATGCTAGCCCAATTGTCACGTGATCTACGTAACCGCTGAGTTCATTTCCATTAGATTTATGACCGTGACTGCAGACAGGAAATCGAGAGGAGGCATGCATTCTCTTTCATCATATTGTTGAATGGTCCGGCTAATTAATTTTAAGCGTGCTCTGAAACAAATAGTTGGCGCGGGAACATAATGCGCTGGCGCTTCTTAATTTGATGGTTGCCGGCCCTTAGACGTCTACTTAATACGTATTTCGCAATGCTATGTATGCTATGTTATGAACAAAACATTGCTAAGATCATCACACAATTTCTTTTGGCTGGCATAATTCGGTATGAGGAGATCCAAACTTCAACCATCTCGTCTTTGCCATCCTCAGTTTATTGACTTTTACGTACATACGTAAAGCGTCTTGTTTAAAAGTTACAAATGTTATTTCGAGGACAACTAGGCCAAGGTGTCTTATATCATTGATCCGTTTGTGAATGACATGACATCTTCAACTTGCGTTGCCCACCGCACTTGCCAGTTCAAGAGATGTTGACCTCATGTAGGATAATAGGATATGAATGTAACTACCTACCTAGTCATATACATAAATTGATATAATCGAAAACTAATAGAGAATTTCTTAACCACACATTCAACTCCTTAAATATTGACTGTGGCCACAAAGCAATTATGCTTCATTACTTAGGTATATATATTTTTTTTATAAAATATTACGCCAGAAAAAATTCAAAACCTATGAGCAGGTGAGTTAATTATTATCAATACAGCCATTGCAATAAAGATTTTATTCTAGTTTGTAGATAATTAGCTTCAGTTAAAATGTGTTAAAATACCGAAAGTAAAAGTAAGTGTCGTGGTGCACGACCCAACAACATTTTAAGATACAATTATCTCCGCTCGTGAAGACGACAGTCCATAAAAGTTGGGTTTGAGCAATCGTGACTCTTCAACGTAACGATTTTTTTTCTCGAAACGTCCCTTTACAAGAACCAGGCTATTAAATAACTTATTTATTTCATAACGAGACAGGACAGCCGTGGAATACTTATTATTATCATCAATCTAGCCAGCCAGACTCTAATATCAAAGTGACAGATTCATTTGATACGTGTCGCAGTTAATATCCTGTAATTTTTATATTAAATGTAATTGTTTCCGTAAAGGTAAGAATTATTAAGTAATCTGTGTCGGAGGTCCGTTAGTCAAGTTCAGCCGGCGATGACCTCTGCGACTAAGTCACTGCACCACTTACTGACACCTACTTGGTCTGCATACAGATGAACAACTTAGTGATGGATATTTTCAAACAGTATACACATCTAAACGGTACCTCACCTTCTGTATTTATAAGGATTAGGAGGTATAACTACTTATGAACTTGACTTTATAAGATTAGTACTTTAAGTACATGTTTTTTTTCATTACCGTATTTAAATCCTTTGATTAATGGTATTATATTAGTAGAATATTGAACTTTTATTAAGTAATTCTACATGTAGGTACTACGTATATGTAGGTATACATAGGACTTTTTATGTACGGAGATATATTTATAAGAATTAAACATAAAATTCTTGACATGATAATGTTGCGCTAAATCCTATTGTAGTTTGGACAGCAACATGTTTCATACACAGTAGATATAGTGGGGACTTTATGTGAATGTCAATGTGAACAGTTTCGTAAACATTCTTAGATTTATTAATGAATCATCATTCATAATTGTAATTGTTATCTACCTATCGAGTATCAGTATCTTCAAGAGGTTCATGTGCAAATATTGAGGATGAGTTACAGGTAAACTCCTTAATAAAGTATCTTCTTTGAATTGAATATGATAATGGTGACGCATTTATTAAACACTTATGAATAACTATGAGACACATCTTAGCGCCTACCTAGTTGGTTTCATTAAATCTTACTTTCGGAGTGAGAATCTAATTACCATCGAAGCAGAACAGCCGGTCTTTAGCCGCTGTTCCACGCATTGTGTTCAACAGCCTACATTGTTTACCATACAACGCACCCTGAACACACAAAAATCTTTATTCAGTTACCATGTCATGCCGTGTCAAAAAACAATAGAAAACTATTTTAGTAGATCCGTGGAGCATAAAAAATCAAGTATGTGTTCAAAGCCTCCACAAAACTACTACACGTGCTTAAAATTATTAACTAGCACTGACTCGCAGTGTTACCTGTTTACTAAAGAAATAGATATCTAATTTAGCAGATGAGTCGTTCAAACAACATAGACAGATTTTTTTTATTTCAATATCTATATGCAACTGCCACAAAAATCCAATTACAAAGCCTCATTAAATTTTAATGATGTCTGTATCCCGTTCCCGTGATGGATTAGTCAAGTACAAAGGGCTTGTAGTTTTATAAATACTAAAATGTAGATAGAGCAGAGAGGCTCAAATTTTGCAAGTTTAATTAAAAAAGTCGTCTTCGATGTTCTTGATCTCATAATAAGTTTAATTCTAAAAGTCTTCGAACTAGACAGACTAGGTTGGTTTGGTCATGCGAGCCCTTACAATTGCTACGTATCCAGCAGGATGCGTAGCAACGCACATTGTTAATTTGGCTCTACATGAGCATGTCGGTACTCGGTATATGTGCTACGGAGATATTCAAGTATTTACTACACCAACCGATGCAACCACAACGTAAAAACCAATAATTAAAATAATTATATAGGTAGGTATTTATTAATAAATGTGTTTGTATATTGTACCTACATAATATTATATGTATATTATTGTACAATTCACGTATACGTATGTGCACGAATATTATACTTATGAGTATAATACATTAATTATGTATTGGTTAAGTTGGGTACCTTATTAGGTACAAGTGTAATGTAATATTACTATTATAGCATATATATCCATGTAAGTACCAAAATGGAGAGATAACTTGCGAATACTTTTTCGGTCAAGTGACGTTTAATAATTCAAACAATTCAATCATTTGTAAATACCTACACCTACATTTTATGTTTTCAATACTTACTTATATACTTGTAAAATGTTGGTAACTATATTATAGGTATCCATAGCATTCAATAACTCTTATGTACTTATAAGTAGATATAGCTACTTAT